AAAAAAGAAACCAATCCATCAACTTCACTTTTAATACAGGAAATGCAAATGAGGATTCTGTTTCATAGACTGGCAAAAATTGAAGACAGTATCAGTTTGACAAAATGTGAACTATTAGAACTCTTACACTTGCAGGAAGAAGTATAAACTGGTGAAAGTCTGCCAAATCAGTTTCATTACCTGGTAAGAAGATGCAGTGGGTATGGCCCATCAGTTCCCACACACTGTCTATGCCTGTTAAGGCTTTGATATGAAGTGTCTCCCCAAAAGCTCCTATATGGAAAGCTCGGTCCCAGGCTAGGTGGATCTAATCATGAGGTTAATGGATCATGCGAGCTTTGACCTAATCAGTAGATTACTCCCCTGATAAATTCACAATTTGATGGTATTATTTGGAAAGTACCCTAGTGAGGGCATGCTTTTGTCCTGAGATCCCCTCTAGCACCCTACTTCTTGCTTACTATGAGATGACCAACTTTGTTTATCCTTATAGCCTTGCCACCATGATGTTTATCTTCATCACAGGCCCACAACAATGGAACAAACAGATTTTGGACTAAAATATCTGAAATTATGAGCCAAAATAAAAATGTTATCCTTTCATGTTATTTCACTCAGATATACATTACAACGACAAAGAATTCACTAGCAATTCCTCAAAGAAGGTCTCAGAGGTGCACAAGGAGATGTATACAAGAATATTCAGAACCAGGCATTGTGGTGCACATCTATTACTCTAAGCCCTTTGGACAGTGTAAGCTAGCTTGGGCTGTATAGTAAGACCCTGTCTTAAAAGCAATCATGCTCATGTATGTGCATGTGTGTGTGCGTACACGTGCAAACACACACACACACACACACACACACACACATGAAATAAAGATGAGAACCAGCAGCTCATGCCTTTAATTCTAACTACTCAGGAGTTTGAGATCTGAAGATCACCATTGAAACCAGCCTGGGCAGGAAAGTCCTTGAAGCTCTCATATTTCCAATTAACCACCAAAAAGCCAGAAGTAGAGCTGTGGCTCAAGTAGAGGGACAGCATTCAGGACCTGAGTTTATGCCTTACTACCAGTATAATAAAAAATAAAATAAAATAAAATGTTTGTCACAGCCTTGTTTATAACAAGGAAAAAGTGGGAGGAACATAAACATCTATCAGCAGAATAGGTAAATAAATCATGGTTCATGGATAAAGTAGTATTCATGTAATGAAATGGTGCAGAGAAGTTGGGTACAATGGCTCATTCTTGTAATCCTAGCTACTAGGGAAGCAGCAATCAGGAGGATCATGATTTGAGGCTAGCCTAAGGACAAAGTTTTTGGGTCCCCTTTCTAACTAGTAGCTGAGTGTAGTGGCCCATGCCTGTTATGGGAGACTGAGATTGGAAGGACCACAGTTCCAGGGCAATCTAGGCAAAAAATTTTGTGAGACTCTATCTTAACAGAAGAAGCTATGTGTAGTGGTGCACCTGTCATCTCAGCTATAGTGGGATGCAAACAAATATAATTAGTGTAAATTGTAATACATTTTAATGTTCCATTTAAACAATATGGCTCCATAAACTAGAAGACCCTTTGCGGAAATTTATTTCATGGGTTTGGCACACCATTTTTAAAGACTTAGGAAATATAGCATATATATATATATATATATATATACACATGCATATATATATATGCATATATACACATACATATATACACACAAATTGAATATTCCAAAGCCCTTATGTAGTGTATAATTTCTTAGTGCAGTTTGTTTTATGATAGTATGAACAAGTGCATAAATGGGCTTATTTTGCTTATATTTCATGTTTTAATTTTAGGGGAAAAATCACTGAGTTTTACGTTTTCAACATAATCTGTGGCTGAGAAATGTTGATTTCACTCTAGGGTACCTGAGAAGACTTGGAAAATATTGATTAGTTTCACAATTTGTAGAATCTTGGCCACAGCAAGCAACTGTGATGCCAGGGCTCCCAGGCCAGCAGTGGCTGGGAATGACTCACTCTCCTCCTTGGCAATAGTTAGGGTCAGTCAGTTCTGTCTTGTGTTGGATAAAGCTCTAGGAAGTTGCCTCAGAGTTGTGTTTCCCCTCCACTGGGCAATAAAGCAAGCTGCATGGTCTTTACCATCTTGAGGCATCCCCTCCTGAGTATTTACTCTCATTCCTAGAACACTGGACATTTTTTAAACTGTTGGGATGGTCAGGTGAAGAGTCCATAGCCTAAGGTCCATAAATGGTCCAGCAGTTCTCTACCCACTAGATGCCAGTAGCTCCTCCTCAGTTGTGATAATCAAGTATCTCCAGACACAGTCCCTAGTAAACTAAATCATCCCCACTGGGAATAGTCATGTCACCCAGACAATCCCATCTGTGTGTGGCAGCTGTAGAAGCAGTCAGAGGGGTAGGAAGCAACCTGGATGAGCCAGAGGAGGAGCCAAGGGTAGAGTTAGGAAAGCCAAGGCAGGCAGTTTAGTGGAGTCAGTAAACTAGGAGTAGGGGCTTCCTGTAACCTCTCCTGTGTGGAGAAGAGAGGGTGACTGCAGAATTGAGGCTGTGGTGTCCATTTATGGGTAAGCCCAGAGCCCAGGCTTCTGCCTAGAAGATGCCACTCAGCTTCCTTCTTGCCGGTGCTTGAGCAACGTTGAGCACTTCGAGAGAGCTTTAGGCTGTCTTCATATCTTACTACTTACTCTCTTGGCCTTGTAGAGAGTGATGAGAGTCCAGAAAGGTTAATTTCCTTGGAGAGAGATTGCAATTGCTTGATCACATACAGGCCATCAACAAACATCTCTGAAGCATGCACTTGGGCAGAGGCTGTTCTATCACCCAAAACTGTGTGGTCAGAATGGGGAGAGAGTACAGCCAGCCTCAAGGGTGGGGTGGGTATAGAAAGAAGGCAGGCTGTGGGATCCATATCCCAGCTCTGCTCCAGCCGTGGTATCCCCTTGGGTTAAATGAGTGATGCTGATAATCCACAGTGTCTCTGACTGTAAAGCAGGGTGATAAGAATTCTTATCCCACGTGGATGTGAGCAGATTAATCAACAGTGTGCCTGCCTGTAGACCTGGGCCTTGTATGCAGGAACACTCAATAATCTAATGCTATCTTAAGTATTTTATTATTGATGGTATGTGAGAGTGTCATAGACTTGAAGAGTGTCCAGAAACTTCTGAAGGAATAGTGGCCAAATACTTAACAGAACAAATGACTTATCTGTGGTAGGTCTTGAAAGATTAGTGAAGCTTTATCAAGGGAAACACTTTTTTTTTTGGTGGGATTGGGAAGGAGATCATACTCTAAGCTTCAGACAGTGGTAAGAGCAACTAATACACTGCAGATTGCTAGCCAGCTGACTTGTGCAGGGACAGCTGCCAGTTCTGTGATCTGAAGCTGGGGAAGGGTGGCTGTGAGGCTGCTGGGGCTGGTGAAGAATGCCTGTCCTTGGGAGGGGTACTGAATCGGAACAGACAGAAGGGGCTGGGTGGGGATGGAGTTCAGTGGTAGACCCTTGCCTGGCATTCAGAAGGTCCCAGATTCTGTCCCAAGATCATCCCTCCATGAGCTTTGAGCAGACTCTTTAAGTGCCAGACCCCGATGGCTTGGGGTCTACTTCCATCAGTATTTCTTTTCTCCAAAGTTAATTAAGAATTGGTCATTTTAATTCTATCTCCTTTGCTGAAGAAGTGAACTACTGGAGACAGAAAGGCACATTTGTCTGTGTGGGGAATCTGTGTTGTCACATGGAATCCAGGCAGGGGGTGCTGGCAGCCAGTTGGTGTCAGAAGAGTTTAGCAGACTAAGCTCAAGCTGCTCTGTTTAGGTGCCCTGAGCCTTCCTAGCACTGTGACCACTCAGGATGTCACAGCTCATTGTGTTAGCAGAGGTGCTGATTAATTAACTCTGGATCTTTCTTACAGTGGGCCCAGTTTATATGCTGCCTCTTGCCAGGGCCCAGAAACCAGCATGGCAGACATGGGGAATGGCTAAAGCACCTGTGCCCAAAGTGTGGCATATTTATTTCCCTGGAGTCCATGGCACTATGCCTGAGGCTTTGCTGATTCAGCCTGGTGCTGTCTGCAGTCTGCTTGCTGACCAGACGTCTGTCCCAAGGTTGCAAGTGTCCCCTAGATGGTGCTGACTTTAATGTCTGTACTCTCTGAAACTTCATTCTGTGAACATGTACTTATTAGGCACTTCCTACTGTGCTAGGAATCAGGAATTTAGTTATAAATGAGATGGACACCAGACCTGGCTTTGTAGAACTTAGCATCTTGTGGGGGAGAGACTGAACAAACTGTCCAAGTGTTACAGATAAGGGCCAAGAAAGGAAAGTTCAGGCAACCATGGCAATGTAGAAGAGGGAAAAGAACCTAATCTTAAGGAGGGTGGCAAGGACAGGAAAGGAAGATTCCCTTGGTATCTGAGAATGTTCAGGAATGGGGCAGGCCAAGAGCCAGTGGAATGCTAAGGAAACTTCCCTTACCAGGGTAGCCTATGACTGAACCCTTGTGAACATCTTCACACCACATATCTCTTGGTTTGCCTTCTGTTCTTTTTGTTTTTGTCTTGGGGCTTGAACTCAGTGACAGACTTAAGCTGTCACTGTATTATATGAGCCACACCTCCAATTTTGGCTTTTTGCTAGTGAATTAGTCTCATGGGCTTCTCTGCCCTGGCTGGATTTGAACCATGATTCTCAGATATCAGCCTCTTGAGTAGCTAGAATTATAAGAGTGAGCCACCAATACCTGGCTTTCTCTTTGTTAAGTTTTCTCTTCCTTGTCCCCTCTGCTGGCTTATGTTGTTCTTCAAGCTAATAATCTTAGCCTTGCTGGAGGTGGGTCTTGCTCTCCAAGGTAGTGGACAATGAAGAGGAAGCCAGACTTTGAGGAGACCAGGTGGGATTCAGCTCCTGAATTTTTCTTTCTTTTTTTTTTCCAGCTCCTATTTTAATGGTTATGACCTGAGCACTGGGTCCCTATTAGCATTGGTCAGGGTAGTCTTAAGTGGGGCAAAGCCTTCTAAGCACTTAATTCAAGGCCTGTGTAAGTCAGGAGTTTGACAGTACTTATACTGAAGTTGGCCACTTGCCTCTGACCTGGGAGTTCCTTGTGTGACCTGTGAATGCCTGATAGGTCTTAGCTTCAATGTGTCATCTTTTATTTATTCTTCTTTTCTCTTCTTTTTGTGGTACTGGTGGGTTTGAACTCAGCTGCTAGGCAGGTGCTTTTACTACTAAACCATGCCTCCAAGACTGTCTTTGAGATAGTGTCTTGTCTGCCTGTGTTTGGTTTTCGTGTAATAACTGGAGTAACAAATGTGTCCTGCTCTACATTAAAAAGAGGTCTTTTGAATATTTCTGCCTTAACTGTCCTCAAAGCAGTATCCTCCCAAAAGTATCCCATACAGCTAAGATTTCAGGTGTGAGACTTTACACATCCTTTATATGGGCTTAGTCTGCTATCTTTTCTAACCAGGCAGGTTCTTTTTTTTTAATTGAGTTTTTTTATTGTGAAAATACTGTACAGAGGGGTTACAGTTACATAAGCAAGGTAATGAGTACATTTCTTAGCCAGTATTGATGCTTCCTCCTTTGTTTTTCCCCTATCATCCCTTCCCTCCTGCCTCCTCAGCTACACCTGCCCCCCCCCCCCCCTCACCAGGCAGGTTCTTGGCAGGGACTGTCTCAAAAGATTTGAGCTCCTGTGGGGCCTGGACCAAAGTGGTCTGAACCTGATGTGACCTGACATTATCACTGGGAGTGGGAAGGTATTAAGCCTTCTAGGTCTGACAGTGCCTTCTTTTGTCTGTTCATTCATTCACAAATACCTATTGATAGCCTATCCTTTGGTAGGTTCTGGGAGCACAAAGATGAACAGATATTCTCCAAACTTAAAGTCTGTTAGGGAAAGGCTGTTAATCAAAGCATGACACAGTTGTGAAAGAACACTCTGGTATGCCATGCAATGAGAGTGTCATGGGGAGATTTGACAAGTTCTAGGAAGTCGCAGAGAAAGCTTGTGTGAAGAACTTATGTGGGAGTTGGGATCTGATGAATGGGCAGATATCAACCAAAGGAGGAAGGGAAGATTCCAGCCTGGGCAAAGGAAGGTGTGGAAAGAATAAGGGTAGGAAGAGCTATACCATGCAGTCATCTTATTTGCGGACCCTGTGTATCTTTTTAGGATGATGAAGTCAAGTCTGAGTGGGTGGGCTTTGTAGAGGTAAGGATTAAGAAAAGTTCAACTCTACTTTCAGGGGTTACTCAGCTGGGTTGTACACTTCTAGTTTTGCCTTCCATTGTCCCAAACTACCCTTCAGGTTGCTAAATAATGGATTAAAGAGAGCAGATATGAGCCATACCAAGAGATGGAGGGTCCCAAAGATAAGCCAGATAGGAGTAGGAAGCCTTAAGGGCATTCATTCATTCTGTGGGGCAGACCCCTACAGAAGCATTTTCCCTGGTGGAGAGAACTGCTCCTTGTCATCAATAACAGAGGATATTTTCCATCAAACAGCCTGAATGAAAAATCACATTTCTTCTTTTTCCTCTTTTCCCTCTAGGCTTATATTTGGCACCCTGTATCCTGCATATTACTCCTACAAGGCTGTCAAATCAAAGGACATTAAAGAATATGTAAGTAGAGCTGTTTATTTGGAGGGTATCTGAGGTGGCTGAGGCTGGGCAGCAGAGAGTGGATGTCCTTCTTGGTTGGGCATGAGTAGCAGGAAGTCATCATTTTTATTCTCATGACACTTGGCAGGAGTACTTTCTCTATCTAGACCTTCACTGGGGAAATGAGTTCAGCAGAAAGATTCAGAGAGAGAGGAAACAGCATCTGCTCTCGGAGGCCCCACTGCTCTGTCACATGCTGAGTGACTTTGCCTCACTTAGCTTCAGTTTCCTTGTCTGAAAAACACTGTAGACTGCAAAGTGCCATTCCTTGGAGACAGCCTTACCTGGTGTCAAGAGCACTGATCCTAGAGTTCAATAGACCTAGTCCCCCAAACCCCTGGCTTTACAGCTCTGACCCCATTCCAGCCTATGAATCCAACCCCTACAATTTAAGCCCTGTCACTGTGTAAGTTTTTTTGAGGGCATAGGGTGTTCATCCTCCTCTTTCTCTTGCTCACAGTACCGTGCAGTGGGCTGAGCACACAGGAAGGGGACTGAAAGGCCCCATTGGTTGGAGGATTGTATTCATTACTGGTGGATTGTATTCATTCCTACTGCACCAGCTCTGTATGAGCTGGATACCTCAGCAGGATGACTGTTAGCCATTCCTGATTGGCAAAGGTGATGGGTGATGACCAAAGGATCACCCTTCCTGTGTAGTGCACTATCCCAGGTCAAAGTTCAATGAACGTATATTTGGGCATAAAGGGGCTGAAATCAGGCCCCAGATCTGACATTTAGTTGGTGCACAGGTGGGGAAAGTATCTTAAACTTCCAAAAGTCTAAATTTCATCTGAGCAGTGAGGTAGATAATAACAACCCCTCTTGTTCTTTTACTCACATATCACTTGGCAAGTTTGGTGTAGGTTAAAGAAATCATTTAGAATGGGCTTGGAAAGTCATCATTTTCTTAGATTTCCTCAGAAGTCTGCACCTTGAAATTAACTGCAAACAGAACTCAGTCCCTGCTCTTCCAGTTTCCCAGAACTACTTGCTGCTCTGAAGCAAAGGACCTAGAGGGGGCAATTACTCCTCTGGAATCCTGTGTCTGGTATGTGTGAGGAATCTCCACATGTACTTTATAAATAGCTGAAAAGTTGCAAGCGCAGGCTCTCCTGGTCCTCAATTAACTGGGCCTAGTGTAAAACATTTGGCAGCCTTCTCCAGCCTCCCTATCCTAACCCTTCCTACCTATGGTAAAAGCCACCTGTGCTAGGGAAGGTAGTATTCTGGGGTCACTGCCATGCAAAGAACAGAAAATCTCTGGGATAGAGAAAATTCTGCGGGGACAGATCAAACTCAAATTGTTTTGCACTGATGACCTCATAGGAGCCTGGTTTATGACGGGAATGGCAACTCATTAATTTAAAGTGAACATTGTAACTGATAAGCTGAGCAGCTGTTGTGTTGGCTAGTGAGAGACGCTTTCCCTTGGGGAAAAGCGTGAAGGTTTCTGGGTAAAAATGGAATTGGAAGAAAGGAACTGACACACACTCCCTCATTGTCACATACTCCCACACCTACTCTCATACACACAGTCCCTTTCACACATACTCAGTGTCACAACACTCAAGTGCTCTCACACAATCCCACATGCACTCATTCTCACAAGCACACACATGCAAGTCACACACTCATACATACTCCTTTGTCCTGTGTGTGTGTGTGTGTGTGTGTGTGTTGTGTGTGTGAATAGGATTTGAACTGAGGATCTTAAGTTTGGTAACCATGGTCTACCACTAAGCCACATCCCAGTGTCCATGTTTCCTTCTTTTGACTAAACCATTTTTTGGGGGGTCAGTCGTGGGGCTTGAACTCTGGGCTTGGGTGCTGTCTGTGCACATTTCAGCTCAAGGTGAGCACTCTACCGCTTGAGCCACAGCACCACTTCTGGTTTTCTAGTGGTTTATTGGAGATAAGAGTCTCACGGACTTTCCTGCCTGGGCTGGCTTTGAACTGCAATCCTCAGATCTCAGCCTCCTGAGTAGCTAGGATTACAGGCATGAGCCACTGGCGCCCGGCTTGATTAAGCCATTTTTGTACAGGAGAGAGACCTGGGAATTTGCTCGGTCTCCTGCCTCTCTCTTCATCAATCATCTCTACAGGTACATGTTGGTAACTGTGTCCTACAGCCCTTCATCTTTCTTGTTTTTCTTTTTTGGTCATATGGGGGTTTGAACTCAGGGCCTAATATTTGCTATATACCACTTGAACCATGCCTCCAGTCCCTTTTACTTTTAGTTATTTTTCAGAAGGGGTCTTGTGCTTTTCCTGGGCCTACCTGGACCAAAGTCATTCTAACTATATGCCTCCTGTGTTGCTGGGATTATAGGCATGAGCCAACTAGCCTGCCTTCCTCCCATCCCCTCCATAATCAAATCAACTCTGTCTTCTCTGCTGCCATTTTCAGAAATGAGCTTTTAGTCGTTTTCCAGGAAATATTACAATAGCCTTCTATATTAGGGCTTTATTGTCACTGTAACAGGTTACCATAACCTTAGTGGCACATAAAACAACACAAGTGGGGCTGGGAAGGTGGCTCAGTGGTAGAGTGTTTGCCTTGCATTCATGAGGCCCTGGGTTCGATTCCTCAGCACCATATGAGCAGAAAAAGCCCGATTGGCACTGTGGCTCAAGTGGAAGAGCACTAGCCTTGAGATGAAGAGCTCAGGGACAGTATCCAGGCCTAGAGTTCAGGCCCTATGACCAAAAAACAAAACCCACAAATGTATTTTCTTCTCACTCTGGTCGGAAGCCCTCCAGGGGCTCAAATCAGACAGGACTGCATTCCCTTTAGAAGCCTGGGAGAGGAATCCATTTCCCACCCTTTGATGTCTCTTAGGGGCTACCTGTACTCTTTGGCTCATGCCCCTTCCTCCTTGCTTCTAAGCAACATCGTTACATCTCTCTAAGCATTCTAGTGTCACTTGTCCTTTACCGAGCTGAGAGCAGTTTTCCTGTGTGTGTGTGTGTGTGTGTGTGTGTGTGTGTGTGTGTTGGTACTAGGGCTTGAAATAAGGGCCTAACTGCTGTTTCTTAGCTTTTCTGCTCAAGGTTGAGACTTTACCACTTGAGCCACAGCTCCACTTCCAGCTTTTTGGTGATTAATTGGAGCTGAAATCCTCATGGACTTTCTTACTCAGGCTGACTTCAAACTGTAATCCTCACTTCTCAACCTCCTAAGTAGCTAGCATCACAGATATGAGCCACCGAAACCTGGCTCAGTTTTCTTTTTTAAGGATGCATGATTACATTGGACCCAGAATAGTCTTTCCATATGAATGTCCTTATCTTAATAACTGTTAAGTATCCTTTGCCATCTGGGGATTTGAATGTAGCCATCCTTAAGGAGCTATAGTTCTGCCAACCACACTCCCTCCTCCCCACACTCATTTCCTACTCTGTTGTCCACAAACTATTCAGAGAAGCCTTTTTTTTTAAAAATAGAAATCTATTTATCTCATCCCTCCCTGGCTCCTTATCACCTGCAAGACCAAGACCAAAGTCCATTACAGTGTTTAATGCTCTTCTTGACTTTGCTATATTTACTTTCAGCCACTTCTCTATTAGCTTTCAACACTCTATATCTCTGCAGGTCAACACCACCAACATCACCTTGGAGTTTATCAGAAATAAAGCATCAGGTCCTACCCAGATCTCCTAAATAAAAATCACAAAATTTAGAAACATTGCTCTTGCTATATAGATTCTTGTATCTTTCCAAATTTAATGCTTTAGTAAGACTTTTGGATGGAAATGAAGGAGACTGGGTCTATGCTTCCCCTAGGTAATTAGCTCTCTAGCTCCTCTGATCATTTCCCTAGATCGTTTGCTTTTCTATTAGGTTTAAGTGTCCTCATCTGGTTTGCTTTGCTCGTGTATAACACTTTGATTGGTCTACATAAGATTTGTGCTAGGGGCTGGGAAGTTGGCTCAGTGGTAGAGCGCTTGCCTTGCATGCCTGAGGCCCTGGGTTCAATTCCTCAGCACCACATAAGCAAAAAAAAAGAAAAAAGCTGGAAGTGGCACTGTGGCTCAAGTGGTAGAGCACTAGCTTTGAGCTCAAGGGCTGAGGGACAGTGCTCAGGCCCAGAGTTCAGGCCCCACAACCGGACCAAAAAAAAAAAAAAGATTTGTGCTAGCTGAATTTGGGGCTGCTGGTCTTTGAGACCTGAGTCTGCCAGTAGTTCTCTGGCTGTCCAATAAAGACTCATAATTTGGACTCTTAAGTGGTGGCTTCTCCATTTCTCGTGACTGAGTTTCCTTACTAAAAAAGAAAGGAACTTCTGGGTAATTATAGAATTAACTATGGCATGGAGAAGTTGAAGAGCTAATAAGGTTGGATAGTGATAACAGAGCAGCTCATGCCGCAGGAAGGATCTTCTTAGGGTGTTCCGACCATGCCACCATTACTGACACTGGCTGACACCACAGGTGCCTGTGGAACATTCTTTGAAAGTCCTGGATATGAACAATGAGAACCACTAAAGTCTTAAAAATTCCTCAAAGGAGACTCTAAAATACCAGACATATATAGGTATAGGCATCAGAAATGTTAGTTGGACTTACTAATTGATATTAAACTGATTTGTTGTGTGGGGCAAGATGAAGAATTCAACTGTACCTCCACTGGACAAAATTCATTTGTACCCCATGGATAAAATAATTTTCAATCCAATCAATAATCTGTAAATTGTGAAATAGTTCAAAAGACCCCCTACAAACTCCAGGGAATTCAAAAGTATATGCTAGACACTGAACATTCTGTAGAACACATGTTCTTTTTTCAAGTTTTCCTGATACTTCCCTCTTTTTTACATCTAATTCATCTTCCCTTTGTCTTAGGGAATAAGGTGCCAGTCCTGGGGCTTGAACTCAGGGCCTGGGCACTGTCCCTAGCTTCTTTTGCTCAAAGCTAGCATTCTACCACTTGAGCCACAGCACCACTTATGGCCTTTTCT